GTGTTTCAAATTTTGGAGATATCGATTCTTTAGATGCACAATTTTCTCTGTTCGAAAAATCTAATTTCTTTGCAGAAATTTTCAAGTCTGGAACTTTCAATGGTCTTATAAAATCCATTTTATGTACAATCTCATGCAAATTCTGTGTACTATCAGACTTTATTATTCTTGAAGGTTTAATTGCATTTTTATTATTTGATTCTTGTGTTTTTATACAAACTTCAGAACCATCATTTAATATAAGCTTTCGTTTCACAGCACTTATAAATGTGAAAGGATATGGTTGAATAGGTTGATATGATAATTTTTCTAAATTTTTTAAGTCAAATTCAATTGGAAAATTAGATGATTTGTCTTTAAAGATTTGGTTGGTAATGTAATCTTGTTGCTGTTAAAATTATATTTTATTAGATTATACATAAATAATATAAAAAAATGATTAATATTATTTTTATTAATACAAAATTATACATATATAATATAAAAATAATAAGGTAATTAAATAAAAAAGATTAACTCACTGCAGATGCTTCAGCACGTTGAACAATAACATCAGGATCACAAAAAAAGACATATTTCTTTTTTACATTAATATCTTCTTTTTTAGAATTACCACTCATATTTTTATATATATAGCATATCAATAAATTTATATTTGGTTATTGTTACTTGTTTGTCCATGCTTGAAAATATATCATATAATATATATCATAATGATAAATATACTTTATATATATTGAATAAAAAATTACATAAATATTATTTTAAAAATTAAAGAATATTTCATAGAATCAAAAATAAATTAAATAATTACTGCATGAAATAAATTATTTTTAATATATAAAATTTAAAAATAATAAAATCAATACATAATCATGAATTTATTTAAACTAATATTTTAAAATAATAATATTAATATATAATTTAGTTATAAGCTTAATCCATAAATAAACTTACATTTAAATATTTAATACATTTACCATTAAACACAGATAAAATAACTAATTTGAAAAAATACTGGATAAAATTTGTATTTATAACCTAATTTAAGAAATTACGTTTTATAAAATCAATTTTTCAAACGTTTAATAAAGAATAATAAGAACGTTTTAAAATATTCAGATTAAAGTATTCAGATTTTTATGTATTATATATTATTCATGTTTCCATAATATTGAATGCAATAAATTATCACAATCATTTGTAAACGACAATCACGTGGTACTTTGCGATTTCCTACTTGCATAGAATTGAAAACATGGCAACGACAAAATGTGAATAATCGATAACAGTAATTTGCAAACATGACATATGCTAACAATATAATAAAGATAATTATTTTTTATAACAAATATAATATTTCATAAAAATTGTATACTGCGATATTTCACAAAAATAACATCAAATGAAGAAAACAATAATCATTGATTATATTAAACAAAACTATTAAATAACTTCTTTCTTTGTCTTTCTCTTCGAACATCTTAACTTTTTGCGATCAGTCTTGGTAACATTGACGCTTATAACATGAAGTTGTGTCGTGAATATAAAGTATATTAGAATAGGATTAAGAAGAAATTTTTTAATTATATTTTTTAATAATATTTTAAAGTAATAATATTTTAAAGTAAAAATATTTTAAGAAATATAATTAAAAAATTCCTAAATATATTAAAAAAATAAATAAATATTATAAATTTTATTTTGAAAAAAAAATTATAAAGAAAACATTAAATAATAAACTATGAAGAAAAAAATAAAAAATTGATAATATTTATTTAAAAATATATAAAAAACAACTTTTTTAAATAAATAAAAACTTTAAATATTATTTCGGAAAATATAATAATGATTAATTGAAATAAAATTTCATGAATTTTATGAGGGTATAAAATAAATTCAAATAATTTTCAATTCATATATTTAAAAGATTTTAATTATACGTATTTAATATGTATGATAGATAGATTAATAATATTTAACTCAACTAAGAATTAATAAATGTGAAATGTGAAATTAAGTAAATTAATTCTTTTATTTTTTATTTTTTTTTATTGAATCAAGTTTTTATTTAAATTTCATCATAATTAATAATTTCATCATTAGAATATATTATATTTTTTAAAAAAAAGCGTTTAAAACTATATAAATGGAGAATCTATATTTAATATCTATATTTTTTACATTAAAAATTAAAACACATTGTAATTTTGAAAGAAAAATGATGAAAATATTTTATATAAATAAAAATTTAATTGATAATTTCCTTATGGTTATTATCGCGCTAAAAATAAGTATAAATAAAAGTGGATAAAACAAAAACAAAGATATAATAAAATTCGAGAATATTCAGAATATATCTATTGAATAAATGAAACATAAAAAGAATAATTAATCATGCAAGAGAGATAAAAATAAAAAAGTAAAAGTTTGTCGTCAATCCCATGTCTAAATGTCAAAAACATCTTTTTAAAAGCAGAAAAACATAGAGTAAGAATTAAAAATCAGTGTCATCTTTTGAATATTTTTTAAAATATATTTTTATAAATAATATAAGCATAAACTAGATATAAATCTTATCTTTAGTTCATGATTTTATTTTTATACAGTAGTATAAAAATTATTTCATGTATAATTTTTTTAATAGTTTATTTCAATTAGTACATTCTTACTTCATTTTTTTTTATTTTAAAAAAAATATTCTATAAATATCTTGTATATATTTATCTCTTAGAATAAAAGCTATTATTTTTTCACTATCAACTGAAGTAAATATATTTAATAGTTGCTATAAAAAAGGATTGGATCATGCAAATCATTAGTAGGAAATTATTGAATTTGATATTTCTAAAGAAGATAATAAAGAGATAGTGCAATGATAAATTCTTATCCTTTGTTTTATTATTTGATTTATTCTTATCCTTCTTTTATTATTTGATTTCTTTATTTATATTTGCTTTGCATAATTTATTTTATTTTTTCATTCAAGATACTTAAGATATAATATAATTTGTTTATTATTAACAAGAATTAAAATATCTATGAATTCATTTGAAATATATATATGTATTTGAAAGAATATTAAAAAAAATCATTTTTAATAATTTTTTTAACTTCAACTTTTCTTAACTTTATCATTTTTGATTGAATTGAATAAAACTTCTATATTCATTATTACAAACAAGATAATTTTTATATTTCTTCTAAGACAAAGTATATATAGATTCTTATTTGTGATGAATCGGACATCTACTTCATAATGAAGTTATTAATTTTCTTTTTTGAAAATATGTATTAGTTATTATATAACTATATTTTATTATTTTAAAATATATATTGTTTATTTTATTTATTATTTATAATTTCCGCCGAAATAAACATCAAAATCCTGTGACAATCAAATTCTGCGTTTTTGATTATGTGAATGATATAAAAATAGTAATAGAGTTCTAATATCAAAGGAATTTGAGACAAAAATATATTGCATAATTTGGTTTATTCTTATATCTAATTTAATATAGATCAACTACTTTGTTAGTGAAATCATAATATAGTCATTTTATATATATTTTTATGTTTTTAAATCTATTTTTATTATCTATTATCTATTATTATTATTATTATTATTATTATCTATTATTATTATTATTATTATCTATTATCTATAATCTATTATTATTATTAAACTTCATTTGTGTCAACTTTGTATATATCATATGTATCAAGAATGATAACAAGAAATTCGTAATAATCGTACTATGTGATATATATATAAATAATAATAATAAAAATATATATATAATGTCTAATTTTTATTTAATTGATGATCAATCCTTCAATCAATGTGAACGATAATTTAGACATGGGATACAAAGTTCTGTGATATGGTAGGTCTATTTTATACTTTGTTTATGCTTGAAGTTAATTCCTTGACGTGATGATCTAAAATACTTGTATATTTAAGTATCTAAAAAAAGAAAAAGATTATCTATTATTAATTATTAATCATGGTTTTATTATTACGAAATTGGATTTTAAGCCGAAGGAAATTGTTTATGCAAGAAGTTGTATTATTCAGAATTTCTATGTATCATAAATGCAGCAACATCAAGGTTAGAAATTTATATTTTATTTTAAAATAATATAATTATCAATATATAGTATAATTTTGAAAAATTAATATTCTAATTATTTATTTTTCTAAATGTGTATTTATATATATATATAAAATATGTATATTTTAAAATATATTTTATTTTGTAGAACATAACAAGGGAAAATAATAGATGTATTCAAAAATATACACCATTTTTGCAAATAAGACATTTTTCTGATAAAAATAATAAAGAAGATAAAGAACTAATATATATAGGAAGCATGAAAACTAAAGTCATTAGTCTTAAAGTATTGTCTTTACTGACAACTGCAATGTCAGCAATTTTTCAACCATATATGTTTATGAAACTCATAGAAGAAGACAGTCTAACAACTGTAATAGCAATTTTGACATTGGTCAATTTAATTACTATAGGAAATCCTGTTTTCATACATTTTGCAACAAAAAGATATGCAGTTGAAATGCATTATTATCCTAAAGAAGAAAAATATAGTGCTACAGTATATACATTATTTCTCAAGCGTAAAACGGTATTTATATCTTTAATATTATTATTATTCATTAATATAATTTATACAATCTAATTATTTATATATTGCAGATAAAATTTACTCCAAATGATGTAACTGAAAGTAAATATAATTTTACATTACCATTGTCAACTTGCTATGTAAAAAATAAACCCTTATTTTTTTTGGAACAAAATTTTATAAATCGTAAGCACTATTTTATTATAATGAATTATAATAAACCCATAGATTTTCAAATGAAATCATTAAATGTAAATGCAATCAACCAATCTCCAATTGTTAATACAAGTCAAATAGAAGTTGTTAATACAACTCAAATAGAAAATAAAAATGAAAATTTGAGAGAAAAAAAATAATTTAACTTGTATAGTTTTATTTATTGCATGGCATTTTAGTCTATAGTTTTTATACATTATTTAAAAGCAGTATATAAGTTGCTAGGTACAAAATATATACATCATTACAAAGAGACTGTATACTGAAAAATATAATATCAAAATATTAATACATAAGATTTTTTAAGTGTTGAATTTGCAGAATATTACAAATCCCTAGTCAATATTTATAATTTTTCATTTGTTCATTCCTTTAATGACATAATCTATGAATAAAACATGTTAAATAATAAACATGAAAAAAATAATATATATAATCCTAATGTATATAAATTTAGAGAAATACATTAAAAATGATATAATATTGCAATTTAATTAAAGTGTCAAATGTTTTTTAAATATAGCCTCCATATGTAATAATAGTTTTAAAAGTAGTACAATATAATTTCGTAACCGTGTAAAAACGGCGGGTACGTTTTATTAAAGAGATCACAGATTATAATTATACGCTTTGACATTATTTCAAAGGTATAAAAGAAATATTTACGACGAATAAATTGTGCAATTATTGTACATTAAGCTGGGAGCAAATCGAAATCATCTGAAACATGTACCATTGGAACATGAATATCTTCTATTTGAGGTGTTGCTTTAAATTCACATAATCCAACTTCTTTTAATTTCCATTCCCAATCCATTCTTTGTACAGCATGTAATGATTCAGCTTCATTGTGATGCCTTAGTAACATTGCTTCCTAAAATAATATAATTTTTTTTCTTAATATTTTATTCTTATTTTTAAAGTATATATATATTATTAAGATATTATTAAGATAATATACAATTTATATTATCTTTTAGATAAATACAATAATATTAACATTTATTAATGTATTACATTTTTTAAACTGACAAACATGAAAAAATGCTTATCAATTGGTTTTTATATAACAATTTAATTTAACCTGAATAATTAAAGACAAAGTATGAATTTACAAATATCTACATAATAATTCAGGTATAAATATATATTACAATAATCCTTATAATTTTTACCTTAATCTTTTCCCATTTGTCATCTACATCTTGTAACCAACTCAAAAATAATCTACCATTATATCTACTCCTTGCATTTCTATCTTTTTCTTCTTGTTCTGGTGTAATAACATTATACACTTCTTCATCTTTTAATATGGTACAAACAGAAAAAGGTAGGGATTGATTGGCCAGAGCTCTAGCAGCTCTACCATGTACTCTAAGAATTTCCTGTTCTACTGATAAAACTAGCTTTTCTTTTTCAACAACATGTTGCATTCTAAGACGATATCTTTCTTTTTCTTGTTCAATATACAAGTCTTTCATAGCGCCTTGCAATCCAACCGGAGGATTAACGTTTGGTTCTTTATTTGCATTTCCAGCTAATACGTATGTACAACGATTCATTAAATAATCTTTGAAACCTTGAGGTGGTTTTGGTTGAACTGGAAAAAGACCTTTTCTTCTTCGTTCGATCTAAAAGAATAAAAATAATGCAAATACTTTACACAGAAATTTCAACATTTTTTAAATAAATTTCAATATATATTAAAAACTAAATATATAAACCTGTTTTCTAATATTTAAAAACAATTGATAACAATTAGTAATCGGTTGATCATGTGGATGAACTTCTGGACCTGTATTTGTTGCTTCAGATGCTTCATTAGAAGCATTAGTAGCAGCTTGTTGTGCTTCTTTATTAGGTTTCATTTTTCTTTTCCTAGGATGAAGTTCAACAGGTGGTGCCGGGGTGCCTATATTTGCTATCGTGGATGAGGTAGTTGTAGAAGCATTTTCGGAATTCTCAGCTCCGCTATCTTTTTGACATTTTCCACCAGTTTCGGTATTTTTTTCTGATTTTTCTGTCATAATATTTGTTTTTGAAGTAATACCACTGTTTGAAATTTCTGTCGACGTATTTTTATTTGATTCAGAATTAGTAGTCTCAGGTGTTGGTGAATGATGCCTTTGCTGTGGTGATGAATTATTGGAACGATCTGTCGAAGATACTGGTAGTGGAGATGAGTTTGAATAATTTCCATTTCCTGTAGAAGAAGAGTTTTCTTTCAAAGTCATTGACCCATTATTGCCATTACCAGATCTATGTGAACTTCTGAGCACTCTTTGATGATGCGTTGATCTTTCTTCTCCGTGCAAAGCACCGCTGAAATCTTTCTTATCTTCATTTTTAGTACTATTTCCACTTTCTGTAGGACTTGTTGTTCCACTAGTTGATTGATTCTGATCTTTATCCGTTGAATCATTACTATTAGAACTGGCAACTACATAAGGCAACTGATGACTCCTATTAGATGTGCTCTTTCCATTTCTGTTACCTTGTTCTTGTTCAGACGTCGTACTTTGTGGAATAACTATTTTTAAAGGTGGTACTTTAGGAGCTGAATTGGAATCTGATCCTTTCGATCGATCATCTTCGCCATCAGATTCTGGAGGTGCTGGTGTAGTTGTTTTAGAATTAGTTGTCGAACCAGAAGGATTTGATGGTTTTGGACTACTTGCCATTGAAGAACTTGGACTTTTTCTGTCTGTACTAATTGAGGTTGTATTTTGATTATTTTTACTCGAACTTGTTCCAGATCCTTGTTTACCTGATTTTGTACACTGTGAAAAAAACAAAATTTCAAAATTTATTTTTACTTATTATTAATCGCAAAATTTTCTAAATAAATAATTCATTTGTTATTTTAACAGAAAAAAGTTTTATTTTACTAATAGTTAAAATGATTTTTAAAATAAATTAACAATTACTCTATATAATTATTTATCTTGTACTACTAATAATAACCTCATATAATAATTAATAATAAACAAACCTTTTCCACAGTATTAGTAGTATTTCTACTAGTACTTTGTCTGCCTGTGGTAGTGCTTTTTAAATTTTCTTTTATAGGCTCGGAATCTTTTCGTTTTTTTCGTCGATTCTCTTCATCCTGTTCTTCTGTATTGTCGTTTTCAAATGCACGCTTAGAAGAAGGCGATGCTGAAACCGCAGGGGCATCATCGGTAGTAATCGATGCGGTTGTTGTTTCACCGGAAGATGTTGCACTATTAGCGGTAGACACGTTGTTACCACCATTCTGTCCTCCTTGATTGCCAACAGACTTGCTACCATCTTTATCTTTCTCAGGATTAGGGTTTGGTGATGAGCTTGCACCTCTAACTGGTGTGGGTTCTTTCGAACTTTTGAATTCATACACGTCGCTACTATCACTAGTAGACGATGTGTTTCCAGAGGTACTGGAACCCGAGACGGCATTCACGGTCCCTGATGAGACGTTTGATGACGTCTTCGATGAGGTTTCCATTTGACCTTGATTCTACAAATATTATTTATTTATTTAAATAAAAATATAAAATTTTTACAAGTGAAAATGATGCAATGCATGAATCATATATATTCGTTATCATCATTAAAAGCAATGTAAAATATAATTTTCTTTTCCTCGTTAGAATTTTTTTACGTTATCATATATTACTTGTAGCGAACTTCGCAATACGTAACACTTATCATCATACTTTGTAAATGACCTTAGTCCTTTTTGCTAATCGCATTGTATTTTTTAAATCTATATTTAAACGAATAATAAATAAACTAATAAAACGAATATTTAATATTTTTTACAAATTGTTATCATATATAAGTTAAAAATCTTTATTAATATATTTATTAAAACATCTATCAATAATCAATATTTTCGATTTTCCAAAAAATTGAAAGTTAATACTATTCGTAGAAATCAAAATCTATTATCGATGAACTCGTTTTATGAAAAATTAATTAAATAAATATACATAATTAGAGATATATGTATAAATATACATAAATAATACATTTGCATATACCTGTGCGTTCATGCCGCCCTGACGGGAGTTAGCAGCACCCCCTCCTTTTTTTTCATCCCTCGCTCCTCTCACCTGGTTGAGCCGAAGCGTCACCCTCGGCGAGCTTCCAGACTGCCCGGTTCCCGATCTATCGACTGTGTAGAACAAAACGTCGGTTAATTGCAAGAACAACAACGAAATATTGGGGGAATGAGTTTTTACGAAGCCAGTATATACTCCTCGAGAGAGAGCATAGAGGACGATTGAAGGAATGAAGGAGAGAGGGAGATGGTTGGCGGATACAGAGAGAGAAGGAAATGGAAGATATGTGGGGAAAGGGGGATGGGCATTCGAAAAGAAAAGAACAAGGACGGTAAGAGATTTAGAGAGGAATGAGTCGCTGCTTGCGATCATCGAGAGTATGGCTGTTAATCACAGGGACCCCCAGGAGAACAAGTTTCTCGAGAGGAATGGGGAGGAGGGAGGGGGAAGCAAGAGAGCTTCCCGATCCGCGATCGATTCATTAGTGGCCTTTTACCGGACGATCGCGTTACAGGAAGGCATGCCATTAAACTCTTTATTCGAGTCGCTGCGGTACACTGCATGATCAGTATAAGTGGAGCTTAACGTCCAATATGATCAAATGTTTTAGCAAATACATTTTAAAATTTTTGTCATGCTATCGTATATATTTTTTTCAATTACGATTATTGAGGAATTTTATTTTTATACGCATGTATACATGTATATACATATACACATATTAATTTTTATAACTAACGATCATCTGTGGCAACATAATTTCATTAGAGATTCGATAAGATGAATGAATGCGATGCTTCGATTAAAAGATAAATGTAAATAGAATATTAAAATTATGGTATACGTGACAAGTGTACATTCATTAAGTATACGAAAAGATTTATATATATACAGCAAAATATTACATTTATCGGTATAATCATTTAAAGTGTATTTTAACCAGGCGCCCGAGAGAGATTCGCGGGATCCGAGTGGGAAAACGGATTTCACGGCGAAGCAATAACGTGAGGCTTGTCCCGATGATTTCACGGAACGCTTGTTTCGAGAGATACTAGGATACCGTGTAATGTTGAAAGCGAGGCTGACGCAAGCACTGCTCTCGATCAATATATAATTGAATCTACGAGTTAACACAATGTCACGTATATAATTTCAGAATTCAAACCAATACGTATGTCGAAATGCGCGAATATATTATGTTAATATCGATTTAACAATAATCTTACACGGTAAATAACAGAGTATTTTTATTAAGATCTCTTTTGGTCATTGATCGTGGTTCCCCCTCCTATGCTGTATCTCCTTTCTCTATCGCTCTCGTGAAAGAGGGAATTGTGCCAATGAAACTTGGCGCTTGCGAATAGTGTATCCTAAAATACATCAACTTCACTAGTCAATGAATTCGTGACTATTCGCCGCTTTTACAATATTAACAATTCGCGGAAATAGTTTCACCCTATACGGATCCAATATTTTTAATTACCGTAAAAATCTCTTTCACTTTATATTGTTTAAAAAAATTATTATTTCATTCAGAAAATTGAAGAAGCAGATAAAATTTAAATAATAAATTAAAAGAAAAATATGAAAATACAAAATAAAAAAAAATGTGAATAGAATTTTATATTTAATTTCTACAATAAAATTCTGAAATTTAAATATTCATATTATAACAATTTTTAACAAGTTATCAACGTTAAATTATTATATTTAATAAAAATTATCATATATTCTATCATTGAAATTGACAAATAATATTTTCGAATCACAACCCAAATATAATGGACACTTCAAATTAATCGATGCTCTTTTTAACCGTACAAGCGAGTATGTTTATCGCTAGTGTCGCGATACGTGAAGGCACGTAGCGTAATATTATCTAGAAAGAGAGTACATATTTGTGGAACATTCTTACTGCGAAATGATGATACGTAAATATCACGGTATATTCAACATATATGCTTCTCGGAATGCAACGTATATTATTTCGTAGTGTATATTTCATTCTCACACTTCCTAGATGATAGAAGAAATCTATCTTCAAAAGATAGAATTACCAATGTATTCAAAAAATTTTCGAGCACTATGATTTCTTAGTTGCATATTATCGCGATAAAATATCTACATAGCAAATATTACACAAGATAACACGATTAATATAAATAATAAATGAATTTTTATGATATTATTTAATATATTTAATATATAGAAGAGATTAACTAATGTCAGATATTAAATATCGATAAGATAGCTAAAAATGTAATTAAAAAGATATAAAATAAATGAAAAATAAAGAATAAAAAGAAAATACGAGCAAATCTGCTTTATATCATTAAAAAGAATTCATTAGAAATGTTTCTTTTTCATTTTTTTTACCATTCCTGACCTTGCAAAACACAAATCAAACAAAAATTTTTATTCGATAAATAAAATATCACAATCTTTTTGACCGATAACATGTATGTATGTTTTATCGAATATAGTTTGCCATGAGAAGTTCATTAACTTATTAAGCAAAGATAATAATACAACCGATGACATAAACTGACAAATGACAATTGTTTTTTAATATCTATGCTATGATACATTATTATATAAAAATTATTATAAAATAAATTATAATATAAATTATTATATAAAAATCAAACGGTTTATAATATTTTATATAAGTTTCATAATTTTAATCGTTTTCTTAAAAAAAAAAAATGACAAATTCGAAAAATATATATTAATATTAATATCATTAAAAGATATATAATTTAAGATTTAAAAATTAATAATTCATAATTGATGATTGATAAATGAAATACTGATTTAAATCTAGTTATTGATTAGTAAAATGACGAAATATTATAACGAGAATCAAGGTCAGCTGAAATATGACTCCGTAAAATGTCGCTGTCTATCCTCCTACAGTCTATCTGTCTGATGATTTATATTTCAAAAAGATTAGCACATCGCTTCGGTTGAAGTTTAAAAGATTTTGCTACATTGAAAGCAAACGTACTGAACGCAGTATATCGTGTTTCCAACATGTTCTGTGAAATGCATGAGACAAAGTACGCAACCGGTTTTGTTCCTCACTATACACGTACATTTAATTGCCGCGGTTAAATATTTTCCAGACTTCAATTTGACTTTGTTAACGATCAATAAAACTGTGACAACGATATCGACACGATTTTTATGTTAGTATACATTTCAACATCAACGATAACAAAACTTGAATATTAATCATGAATATAAATCATTTAGACATTTGTATACCTTTTCTACAACATTCAACACAATGCGTAGAATATATTCAATTATTAAATTGCAAAGAAAAAACAAGGAAATATAAATATAATAGTTCGAGCGAGCTTGTTAGAAAATGGTGCACTGTTGCAATAACTGCAACACAGACCCCTTTTGGAGGTACGATCACCCTAGTGGTGTCGATGGACGCAGCCCGCGAGCGCAAACGTGTCCAATGTATACTTGCCAGTCAGCGTGCTTCCTCTCTCTCACTCCTCACCTTCTCCCTCTTTTTCTCCCCCTTCTCTTGCATACTCCTTTCTCTCTTACCTCAGAGAAGTCTGCCTTTGTCCCTCTCTTGTTCGACAGCAAAGAGACCAGCGAGGAGATGTATTCCAAGGTTCGGCAATCCTGGTTCGCGAATGACACTTCTTTCAGATAGGTTAATATCGATGTCGTAAAGGAGACGACTCGATAGAACGATACACGTTAAGATTGTAGAAACACGCGCTGAGCCACGTGGTCGAGAGTACTTGCTAGTAACGGTACTTTTGGGTCATCCGATAGTAGCCAGAGGGTTTCAAGCGTAGACGAACGTAGCCACGAGCGCATACCTGTTCCTACGACGGATCGCCAACTAGCACGGATTGTGAGGATATGAAGATCCTCAATAGATTATCACGAGTGGACAGGAAGAATAATATTATGATCAAGTGTGACGACAAGCAAGAAGTTCAGTAGCCGTCGAAGCAGCGTGTGTACACTACTGCCACTAGCACGGCTCCCACATAACGCGCCAGAGCGAAGACACTGAGAGAGCTAAGAGAGAGAGGAGCCCGCTCGCGACTGTGTCGCCGCGTCTCCGTCTCAACCAACTTCTACCAGGCGCGGCACTGCATCGCGCGCACGATACCGACGCGTCACTACTGGGGAATGTCACGTTTAATTAAATGGTGTTTCTGCATCGCTCGCTATTATTACCGATCGGTAGTGATTGCACGCTCACGCGTGTTCATTCGCTACACAAGCGGTACATTGTATGCGCACGCGCGTTATAACCGTGTTAAATATTTATAATGCATCTAGTTTCTCACTAAAAGAAAGACCTTGTTAATTGTAATAACGTATTATATGTTGTATAATACATTCATAATACAAAATTATATAATACAATTAAAAATGGTACTTAAAAAAATAATTTTTCATTGCGTTCGAGAATATGCGTGCGATATGAGAATAAATAAAAAAAAAATAGTTTATATATTTTATAATTTTATCTTTAATTTTTTTAATAATTTTTTCTAGATATCTATCAAGATGCAAATTATTTCGATTATTAAATATATACATTTACATATCTTTTACATATTATATTTTATTGTTTCTTTTTAAGTTATAAATTCATATAAAACTTTTACAATTAAATATATTAAAAATATAAATAAATAAATAATATTATTTCATAAAAAATAAATCAAAGGAAAAAAAAACATATTTCTAAATAAAATAAAAATATTAAATCTCATTCCTATCATTTATTTAAATTTATTTATTCTATGATTAATTATCAATTTTTATAATTGCATAATTATTTAAAATATTTGTATCGTATTATTTGTATTATATCGTATATCAATATCAATTGTAAAATATAAATAAATAAAAATAAATATAAACAAAATTTTTATGTTTCTAATTATATATATTTGACATGATTGTCGAATTCATTAAGAAAGAATTTAATGAATAGTAGCTATGTCGATAAGTGAGATATTTATCATATCGGTAAAATAGCTCAACAAATGTATTAATTAAATATTTTATTATTAATAAATAAAAATATTTTTAAAAATTAGTAAAAAATATGAATTTTCTATTATTCTTTAATAATTTTTAAATTAATGTTATAATTTCATAATGAACAAAAAATTAATTGTAAATATATTTCATTATTAATATCAATTAGTGTTACATTAAAAATTTTAAATTTTAAAAAATAAAAATTTCTTTTCAATATTAATTTATATAAAATTAGAATATTTTAAAATTAATTTAAATTTAAACATTACTCAAAATATATATTAATGTATACGATTGAATATATTTATTATTTTTAATAATAATTTTATATTAATTGCAAAATCTTTTACAATAACATTTATTGTTCATATATATTCAATATAAAAAAAAAATTTATAAAGTGAAAAGCAAACTTAATTATATATGAAAATTGAAGCGCATTAAAATTAAATTTGAAATATAAATTTTTTATACTTATAATAATAAATAATAACACTGTGCATACAGACTCACCTTTATTTTGCGGTGGTGT